AATACAGATATTTGCAGAAACAGAATTCTGAACTTTTTTGCGTTGGCGCCATTTTTTTTAATCTTTCAATTTTTATTCTTTAATTATTTCATTATTTTGCACCACCTATCTTACCTTGTATACTCGGGAGTATGTTTTGTGATCTGATTTCATATTTTTCTGCTAGACCTGTTTGGGAAGGTGGCCAGTATGATCGTGATGAAAACAGTCGCTTCAATGCACTTAAATTGGCCATGGAGTTGGGAGCTGATCACATTGACATTGAGCTTAAGGTACCCTTAAGTCTTAGATTATAGATTATTCAAACCATGTCTTGGACAAAAAAATTATACTGTTGCCTTTTGTTCAAATATTTTAAATAGTCATATTATTTCTGGAAAGAATACCTAGAATTTGTTATTTTACACACTGCTATTCAGATGTAAATAATAGGTTTGCTTTTGGTGAAAAGTATGTATTAACTAGTCTTGCATATGTAAAAGCCAGTGCAGCATGTGATGACGACCAGCAATAACTGCATGTTTCATTTTTCCTCCATAGTTTATCCCTTTTAGCCAGAAACAAGTAGAATAGTACAAAACATTGTAAGATTCCTCAGCTGATTTTGATCTCAAGAGATGAGTTGATATTTCTTGTGCTCATCTTTCATAGTTTATATAAGTATAACTTTGACATGGTATCTTATTCTCTGAAGGTTGCTCATGAGTTCAACAATTTCTTGGGTGGAAATAAGCCTGAAAAGTGCAAAATTATTGTTTCTTCGCACAATTACAATAATACCCCTTCGGCTGAGGAACTGGGGGACTTGGTTGCCAGAATACAAGCAGCTGGAGCCGACATAGTTAAATTTGCCTCAACTGCAACAAATATCACAGATGTTGCACGGGTTTTTCAAATTACAGTGCACTCTCAAGTGAGTACTCAAGCTATATAGCAAGTTCTCTATATTTTTCTTGCCCATCATGAAATATCCATTTTGTCAATGCTGTCGTTCCATTGACGATATTGCCTTTTGCTCTCTCAGTGGAGTTGTCCTGATTAATTTTATAGAAGCATAAGCTTTCTCACTGGTGTGAATTATGTCAGCTATTTGTAGTTGGAGAAAATTGTTTGTCTTCTTAAACAAATGTGAAATTTCAGCCGTAAAATGGTTTGTCTGTTTATCTGTTAGACCATAGATTACCCTCTCAATACCTACACGTGTATATTTGGAGCTCAATTTCACTAACTCACTCCCTTGGAGGTTACCTTAATTACGGAAAACTATCTCCCAAGTTTATGAAAATCCGCATGGCATTTGTTTCCCACCTCAATAACCTCTGTTATGTTTGTAACACTGATGGAGATAAGTGGAGTTGTTTTGGTAGTAAGATTGAAAATTAAGGGTTTTCTCGTGAATATCCCCATTTTTCCTGTTGCATTTTTTTTCTTTCTTTCTTCAAAAGTTTCATTCTCGTATTCGTTCATCAATTTTATTAAACATGTGGTGACAGTGAAGTCGTTCAGATATTACAGCTTCTGTTTTTATCTTAAATTATAGTCAAAATATTCAGGTACCTATAATTGCCATGGTTATGGGCGAAAGAGGACTCATATCGAGGATACTCTGTCCTAAATTTGGTGGATACCTCACGTTTGGCACTCTCGAACAAGGAAAAGTATCCGCACCTGGGCAGCCGACAATCCAAGAGTTGGTTGAACTATTCAACTTTAGGTTGATTGACTCTGATACAAAGGTATTTGGTATCATAGGGAAGCCTGTCAGTCACAGCAAGTCACCCAAGCTGTATAATACTGCTTTTAAAACTCATGGAGTTAATGGTGTGTTTGTACATTTATTGGTGGATGATGTTCGGTGTTTCTTTGACACGTATTCCTCGCCAGATTTTGCTGGCTTCAGGTGAATGTTTATGATGTATGGTGGTTTTCATGCGTGAATGTGCCTGTTGTTCCTTTTGGCGTCTCCTGTTTATTCTCTCAATGTGTGGGTCCATCCTTCTCAATTCCTCTTTATATCTGCGGTGTTAGATTTCTATGGT